CCTCCCGCTCACATTACACTTTTGTATGTATAAGTTTGAGAAGGTTGAAGATGGTAAGTGATGGGGAAAGTTTACATCACCAAGATGCCATTTCAAATTGAATATTGGACATCACCCCTGGCCCTCCAGCCACGAGACCCTCCAGCCTCATGGCTTTCCCCTGGCCATTCTCTAGCTTCACCCCAGCCCTCACTTCTGACTGCTTGGGGAAACTCTAGGCTCCTTTTCCTTCATTCTGCAAAACTGTTCAGCTCTCTCTAACCCCTACTCCCTGACCTGGCTTCAGATACTCCTAGGCAAAGCTGACTCCACCAAGATAGGCACCAGATCAAGGGCTTTTGGGGTCACAGAACCCACTTGAAGAAGGTAGTGGTGGTAATAAGTAGCAACTTTTCTGTCTATTGTATAGAAATGTAGGGATCACTAACCAACATGATGTTTATATTGAGTATACGAGTATTTTCTCACTTCTAAATAATCTGCCCTCCCCTCCACCAGAGAGGTAAGTAGTGAAAATTCATCATAATTACCATTTTGATTAGCTTTTTAAGCTTGTGGTTTCATTGAATAATAACTGCCCGCTTCATTTTTTAAAAAGTAGAATGCTAAAATTTGACCAATAACTAGAGTAATGCATTTTTTAAAAAACATATGAAAATTGTTTTGAAGGGGCTGTCATTGTCCAATTGCAAATGCAATGTGTGAACACTGAGCTTTATAAATTAGGTAAGGCAGTGAAGACCCCTGGGGGGCGATGGTTGGCATACTTTAAAGTCTCAGTCGCCTTTCCAGAAGCTGCAGAAAAGCTGCATCTTTATGCAGTAATTTGAAATGTTATATTTATGTTGGCTTATTTTCTTGGCAGGTTGTATGTAAAATACCTGTTGTGAAGCATGAAGAAAATAAGGTGCAAGCAGCAGTGCCTAAGGTATGATAGTGACTAATATGACCATTATCATTATTATTATTATTATTATTTTGCTGACCAGTACAGGAATTGAACCCTAACCCCCAACACCACACTCTAACCAACTGAGCTGACCGGTCAGATCATTATTAACCTATTTGTTGTTTATATTGGTGCTGGCTGTTCTTAGGAAGCAATGACTTTGTAAGCTCCATTGAGAATCAGTCTTATGAAGAGACAAGACCTGATTGCCTGTGTAGTAAGAGTCTGTGGTTCATTCCTGCCACACCCAAAGAAATCTCTCTCATTCATGACACGCCAACAGTTTCACTGTTAAAGACTTTGTCCTCTTACAAAATACAAACGATATGCATAAAATGACATAAAGCTTTACGGTGATTGAGTTGGTTAAATCCTCTCCTGAGAACTATTTTGATAGAAAGAGGAAATAGAGTAATAAGGGGCAACTGCTGCCCATGATGAGATGGAGAGGCAGCAACAGAGGTGGAAAACAAGATCTGCAAAGAGAAATGCTGGTGGGGAGAGTGGGGAGGTGATGACGATGCATTTTGGTTGCTTTGTAGTATGATCTAGAGCTGGCTGCTTTTAAGTTCATCTTTACATGGAATGGAGGTACGATTTATGGGAATTTACAAGTTAATGTAACGATCTGTTCTCTCAAGTTATTTTTATAGTAGTTAGAAGATGCATGCTATTTAATAGAAATGGCCCTTTTTTAGATTTATGGAGAAACGTGGTATTTTTATTCGTGTAATTAACTTTGTGATATATTTTCTATTGAAAGTTTGAAGACAAAAGTGCTTTGGAGATGCAAATAGAATTATTAAAGGCTAATTTAGAAAGCGAGAAGAAGAAGAGAGAAAGGTACTGGTGATAATGATTCTTAGTTGTTCCTTTGTCACTAATACAATATTTAACCATCTGTAAATTTATTACAGGTTTAGGAGGGAAGCAGACAGGGTGAACAAAATCTGGGAAAGGAAATTCTTTATTCTCAGGAACAGGTATAGTGTGGTGATATATACATATATATATATAAATTCTATTTATAAAAATGTGACTTGGAAGCCTTGCATTTTCTTTACATGTTAATTAATGTTAAATACCCTCATGTACTTTTAACAGAAAATGTAAAATAATTGGCCTAAAATAGAAGAGTAATCAAAGCCACGTTATTGAGGACTACCACATCTATGTTCATCAGGGACACTGCCTTGTAGTTTTCTTGTATTATCTTTGTCTTGCTTTGGAATCAGGGTGATGCTGGCCTCAGAGAATGAGTTTGGAAGTATTCCCTCTCCTACTTTTTGGAAGAGTTTAAGAAGAGTTGGTATTAGATCTTTGAGCGTTTGGTAGAATGCACCCATGAAGCCATCTGGTCCTGGGCTTTTCTTTGTTGCAAGGTTTTTGATTACCAATTCAGTCTCCTTGTTCGTTATTGGTCGGTTCAGGCTTTCTGTTTCTTCTTGATACAGTCTTGGTAGGTTATATGTTCCTAGGAATTTATGCATTTCCATTTGCCCACCTAGGTTATCCAAATAGTCCTTTATGATCTCACAAATTATTTTTGGTTTTGGGGGGGCCTTTAAAATTTTTTTGTTTTTAATTATTTTTGACACATAATTGTCCATATTTATGGGTTGGCATTTGGTAAGGACCATGGCCTAGTGAATGGATTAATCCATTGATGGTTTAATGGTGGTCATGGGCACGTTTCTGATGGCTTTAAAAGGAAGAGCATGTGAGAAGCTCTCTCTCTCTCATGCCAAGCCATTCTTGCCATGTGACACCCTGCATTGCTATAGAGTCACCACCAACAAGAAGGCAGCCCTCACCAGACGTGTTCCCTGGGCTTTGGACTTCCCAGCCTCTGGAACCATAAGCAATAAATATTGTTTTTTTACAAATTATCCAGTTTCAGATATTTGTGTTATAGGCAACAGAAACAGGCTAACAACAGACGCTGCAACGTGTAGTGTTCAAATCAGACTAGTAAACATATTCATCACCTAAAACATTTTTCATTTCATTGTGCTGGAAACATACAAAAGCCTCTCTTCTAGCCACTTGAAAGTATGCAATAAATTATTAACTGTAGTCACCCTGCAGTGCCATAGAACACTAGACATTATTCCTTCTATTTTGCTGTAATTTTGTGTCTTTTAACCAACCTCTCCCTATCTCCAACCCCCCTCTACCCCTCCCAGCCCCTGGTAACCACTATTCTACTCTCTGCTTCTATGAGATTAACTTTTTTAGCTTTTGCATATGAGTGAGAACATATGGTATTTATCTTTCTTAATTCATTTAACATAATGTCTTTCAGGCTCATCCATGTTCATCTGTTGATGAACACTTGGGTTGATTCCATAACTTAGTTACTATAAATAGTGCAGCAATAGATATAGGAGTGCAAATATTTCTTCAATATATTGATTTTCTTTCCTTTGGATGTATACCCAGTAGTAGGATTGCTAGATCACATGGTGTTTCTACTTTTAGGTTTTTTGAGGAACCTCCTTACTGTTTTCCATAATGGCTGTACTGCTTTACATTCTCACCAACAATGTATAAGACTCCTTCACATCCTCACCAGCATTTGTTTTCTGTCTTTTTGATAATAGCCATTCTAACTAAAGCAAGATGATATCTCATTGTGGTTTGATTTGCATTTCACTGATGATTAGTGATGTTAAGCATTTTTCAAAAACCTGTTGGCCATTTGTATGTCTTCATTTGAGAAATGTTCATTCAACTCATTTGCCCATATTTTAATTGAATTATTTATGGGTTGGTTTTGTTTTTGTTTTTGTTCTGTTTTTTGCTGAGTTGAGTTTCTCATATGTTCTGGACATTAATACTTTGTTGAATGAATAGTTTGTAAATATTTTCTCCCATTCCACAGGTTGTCTCTTCACCCTCGATTGTTTCCTTTCCTGTGCAGAAACATTTTAGCTTGATATAATCCCATTTGTCTATTTTTGCTTTTGTTGCCTGTGCCTTCGAGGTCTTCTCCATAAAGTCTTTGCCCAGACCAATTTCTTAAGGTGTTTCCCCTATGTTATCCTTTAGTAGTTTCATAGTTTCTGGTCTTACATGTAAGTCTTTAATCCATTTTGAGTTGATTTTTGTATACAGTGAGAGATTGTAGTCCAGTTTCATTCTTATGCATATGAATATATAGTATTCCCAGCACCATTTATTAAAGAGACTGTCCTTTACCCACTGAATATTCTTGGCACCTTTGTCAAAATGAGTTGACCATATATGCATGGGTTTATTGCTGGGTTCCCTGTTTTTTTCCATTGGTTTCTGTGTCTGTTTTAATGCCAGTACCATGTCGTTTTGATTACTATAGCTTTGTGGTATATTTTGAAGTCTATTAAAGCTTTCAGCCCATGAATGTGGGGAGTCTTTCAGTGTTTTTGTATCCTCTTCAATTTCTTTCATCTGTGTCTTATAGTTTTCCTTGTAGAGATCTTTCACACTTTGTTTAAAATTATTTTTAGGTATTATATATTTTTGTAGCTATGGTAAATGGGATTGCTTTTTTGATTTTTTTTTTCAAGTAGTTCATTTTTAGTGTATAGAAATGCTACCGATTTTTTTATGCTGGTTTTGTATCATGCAACTTTACTGAATTTGTTTATCAGTTCTAAGAGGTTTTTGGTGGTGCACTTAGGGTTTTCTATACATGAGATCATGTCATTTGCAAACAGGGACAATTTGACTTCTTTCTTTCTGATTTAGATGCCCTCCATTTCTTTCTCTTGCCTAATTGCTCTGGATAAGATTTCCTGTACTATGTTGAATGATGGTGGTGAAGGTGGGCATCCTTGTCTAGTTCCAGTTCTGAGACAAAAAACCTTCAACTTTTCCCCATTCAGTGTGATGTTAGCTGTGGGTTTGTCACTTATGGCCCTTATTTTGTTGAGATATATTCCTTCTATACCTAGTTTCTTAAGAGTTTTTATTATAAATGAATGTTGAACTTTATCAAATACTTATTCTGCATCTATTGAGATGATCACATGGGTTTTGTCCTTTATTTTGTTAATGTGTGTCATATTTAATGATTTGCATATGTTAAACCATCCTTACATTCCTGGGATAAATCTCACTTGATCATGGTGGATGATCTTTAATGTGCTACTGGTATTGTTTTGCTTGTATTTTGTTGAAGATTTTTGCATCTATGTTCATCAGGCATATTGGCCTATAGTTTTCTTTTATTGTTGTGTCCTTGTCTGGTTTTGGTATCCACATAATGCTGGCCTCATAGAATGAGTTTGGAAGAATTCCCTGCTCTTAAACTTTCCAGAAGAGTTTGAAAGTAATTGATATTAATTCTTCTTTAAACAGTTGGTAGAATTCAGTGAAGCCATCATATACTGGGCATTTTCTTAATAACAGACTTTTTATTACCAATTCAATCTTGTTACTTGTTATTGGTCTGTTCCCTCGGGCGGGAGCGCCGCCGCACTTCCCAAGTGGCACACTATCCAGTGCGCCACCGGGCCAGCCCTTATTACCAATTCAATCTTGTTACTTGTTATTGGTCTGTTAGGTTTTCTATGTTTTCTTGGTTCAATCTTGGTAGATTGTATGTGTCCAGGAATTTATTCATTTCCTCTAGGTTTTTCAATTTGTTGGTGTATACTTGTTAATAATAGTCTGTAATGATTCTTTGTATTTCTGTGGTATCAGTTGTAGTGTTTTCTTTTTCACTTATGATTTTATTTGTGTTTTTATTGGTTATGAATATTCATGAGATACAAAGCTGATGATTGTCACCCCTTGTGCTCAAGATGTGAAGGCCGGATCCATACTGGCAGCATGCACATTATTACCACAAATTGTGTTTGTAACCCATGTCCCCCACCCAATTATTCCCAACCTCCTTCTCACTCCCCCTCCCCCCCAGTCCATTTTGTAACCAAAAGTATGTTCTCTCCCTCTGCAAGTCCAATGCATGACTGTGGACTTTCTTTCCTTCCTTCTTTCTCTCTTAGCCCCCACTATGAGTGAGTACATGTGGTATTTATCCCTCTGTGCTTTGCTTATTTCACTCAACACAGGTTTCTACAGGCTCATCCATGTTGTTGCAAATGGGAGAATTTCATTCTTTTTTATGGCAGAGTAGTATTCCATGGTGTACATATACCACAGTTTCCTGTTAGTTGGAAATTTAATGTGGCATGATTTAGCTTCTTCTGCTTTCTCATTGGCAGTTTTGTTCTAACATTGGGTTTTGCTTTTTCTTATGTATTTGTGATAGTAGTCATCATTATTCAGATTCCATATGAAGGACCCCTTGAGAATTTCTTGCAGGACTGGTCATGTGGTAGTAAGCTCCCACAACTTTTATTTGTCTGGGAAATACACTATTTCTCCATCATTTCTGAAGGAGAGCCTTGCTGGGTAAAGAATTTTTGACTGACAATTTTTTTCTTTTAGTATTTTGAATATGTCATTCCACTTTTCTTCTGGCCTGTAGGGTTTCAGTTGAGAAGTCTGTTGTTAGTCTGATGGGGGTTCCCCTATATGTGACTTTACGCTTTTCTCTTGCTGCTTTTAGAATTCTCTCTTTGCCTTTGATCTTTGCAAATTTAACTATAATGGGTCTTGGGGAGGATCTGTTTGAGGACCTTTGAGTTTCCTGGATCTGAAGGTCTGTATCTCTCCCTACACCTGGGAAGTTTTCTGTTACTATTTCCTTTCTTAGGTTTTCAATACCTTTTCCTTTCTCCCCACCTTCTAGAATACCCACAATTTGGATGTTAGAGCACTAGAGGTTGTCTGCTCTTAGACTTTCCTTATTATTTTTAATTCTTTTTTTCCTTTTCTTTTGTCTGCCTGGGTTATTTCAAAAAGACTATCTTCGAGATCTGAAATTCTTTCTTCTGCTTGCTCTTCCCTGCTGCTCAAGCTCTCTGTTGTGTTTTTTATTTCACTGAGTGGATCTTTCATTTCTAGGAGTTCTGCTACACTCTTTTTTAAGGTTTTAATCTCTGTAAATTTCTTCCTTCATTTTCTGAATATTTTTTCTTGTTTTATTGTGTTCTCTAATTAAGTCTTCTTTTATTTCTTCAAGTTTTCTTAAGATCATTGCTCTGAATTCTTTTTCAGACATTTCAAGGATTCCCTGTTCCATGGAGTCTGATATTAGAGCATTACTGTATTCCTTCGGTGGTGTCATATCTTCTTGTTTATTTGTAGTTCTAGTATTTCTTTGTTGACATTTGGTCATTTGGTAGAGGTTTTGCTTCTTCTGTTACACTGAAGTTGGCTATGACGATAAAGATTTCTTCCTCTATTTGTAGGCTTTATTGGTGACTCTTATATCAGCGTATTTGAGTGAGCAGTAGGTTACCTGTAGAGTGGCCCTGGCTGCTACTGTGGTGGCGAATGATCTTTACTTGACAGTAGGTGTGGTAGTGGCTATATTACACCACCTTGGGTTGTGTTTCAGAATCTGTGGCCATAGAGTAAGCCTCATAACTCACCTCTTGGTGGGTCATGCCATGGGTGCTGGTGCTTCCCTCCAAGTCCAAAGTGGGAGGGGAGGCCCATGCCACTGCACAGGTCTCGTTGGCTCAGCTCACCTCTTAGCAGGGCATGCCACAGGGAGCTGGCACTTCCCTCTGGGTCCAAGGGGGGAAGGGCTGGCCTGCACCACTGTGTGGGTCTCATCTTCTCAGCTCACCTCTCAGTGGGGCATGCCGTGGGGAGCTGGTGCTTCCCTCTAGGTCCTTTGTCTTTTTTTATTGGTTAATCTAGCTAATGTTTTGTCACTTCATTTGTCTTTTCAAAAAAAACAACTTTTGGCTTCTTTTTTTTTTAAGTCTTTATTTTGTTTATTTCTCCTATGATCTTTATTATTTCTTTTTTTCTAGTAATTTTGGGTTTGGTCTGTTCTTGCTTTTCTGTGCCTTGAAATGCATCATTTTTATTCATTTTTGATCTATCCATTCATTGCTATAAACTCACCTTATAATACTGCTTTTGCTGTATCCCATAGGTTCTGGTATGTTGGGTTTCTATTTTCATGTGTTTCAAGAAATTCTTAAATTTCCTTCTTAATTTCTTTATTGGCATTTTGGTTGTTAGGAGTACGTTGTTTAACCTCCATGTATTTGTATAGTTTAGAAAGTTCCTCTTGTTATTGATTTTTAGTTTTATTCCATTGTGGTCAGAAAAGATAATTGATATGATTTCAATTTTTAAAAATTTGCTGAGACTTGTTCTGGGGCCTAACATATCGTCAATCCTGGAGAATATTCCATGTGCTGACGAAAAGAATGTGTATTCTATAGCTGTTGAATGAATTGTTGCTTAAATGTCTGTTAGGTCCATTTGATTTATAGTGCAGTTTAAATTCAATGTTTCTTTGTTGATTTTCAGTCTAGATGATCTGTCCAATGCTGAGAGTTAGATGTTAACGTCCACAACTATTATTGTACTGGAGTCTATCTCTGCCTTTAAGCTTAATGATATTTGCTTTATATATTTAGGTGCTCCAGTGTTGGGTGCATATATATTTTTAATTGTTATATCCTCTTCCTGAATTGATTATTTGACCTTTATTATTGTGACCTTCTTTGTCACTTTTTACTGTTTTTAAGTTAAAGTCTATTTTATCTGATATAAGTATAGCTACTCCTGCTCACTTTTGGTTTCTGTTTGCATAGTATATCTTCTTCCATCCCTTCACTTGCAGACTATGAGTGTCTTTACAGGTTAAGTGAATTTTTTGTAGGCAGCATTTGGCTGGATATTGGTTTTCAGTGATATCTGTGGGTTCCCCAGTGACCTAGGCTGTAGAAGTTTGTGGCAGTGACAGCAGTGGTATAGGTCATTATGGCCTTTGGTAGAACAGGTGCTTTCAGGATCCTCCTATTCACATTTTCCCCACAGTGGGAAGACTTAGCCAAGGGGATTCCTCTTGGTGTCAGGTCTGTCACAACCTACAAGCAGTTGCAGCAATTCTGGGTTCCAGGTGCAGGTGCTTGGAGTAACTGTGGAACTGGGGTCCTAGGCTCAGGCTCTCAAGAACCTGTTGTGGCACCTATATTTGGAGGTGCAGTTTTACCTTCTGTGGCAGAGTTGGATGTAGAAGGCTGACAGAGCCAGGATCTGTGGCTCTAAGACACCACCTGACAGCTTGGGCCTAGGGGGGCTGGCTTATTACTGTGACTTTGACCTTGGGGATCAGGACACAGCACTGGCCAAGCTCTGGGGTAGAAGGTATGTTCTGGAGGTTTGGGCCCGGAGAGCAGGGTACAGCTGTAATGCAGGAACCAGAACCAATAGGGCTCAGTGGCCACAAATATTGCAGGGCTCAGCAGCCACTCAGATCACAGGAGATGTGATGCCCTGTAGTGGTGACTCTAGACCTTGGGATAGAGGACTGAGTATTATCCCAGACTCTATGAGACCATGTGCAGCTGCCATAAGAACTCCTGAATGGCAGAGTACAGCTGTCATTTGGGCCTTGGGGTGGGGGCAGAGCAATGCTGATTCAATTCCATAGGAAAAGGGGTGTTGCAGCAGCTCAGACTCTAGGGGGATAGGCCAGCTGCAGGGAAGGAGGGTACTAAAGTTGTCTGGCCCCTTGAGCAGGGTGTCTCAGCTCAGTCACTGCTGTTTCCCTGTGACATGAGTACTACCTCTGTTCAGCCCTGGGATGCGCAGCTGCTCAGCTTGGCCAAGTTGACACAGGGGGGTAGGCTGCAGAAGCAACAGGGTCAAATAGATGAAGCACTTCTGCATGGAAGCATATCCTCAAGAGAGAGTGTGCATTTCCAGCTCCAGTATGAGAAGGCAGTGTGCAGTTGCAGCTGGGAGAGATAAATGGAGAAGCTCCACCAAAGTGTTCTTCTCTAGAGGGAGTGCACAGCTTTAGTTCAGGCCCCTAGGGGCAGGGCAGGGCAGCAACTGGAAGGGATAGATGGAGCAGCTCTGCCCTGGCACTGATTTCCCTGGAGGGAGTGCATAGCTTCAATTCTCGGTTGAGGGAGCAGGGTGCAGCCATGACTGGGAGGGGTAGTTGGAGAGGCTCCACCACCACATAGCACCATGGGGTAGGGTGTAACAGCTGTTCACAGCTTGACTTTGGGACACCTGGCCACTTGGAAGGGATAGTTCTGTGGCACCTTAGTCTCTAGGATTAAGGGGTGCTGTGGCCACTCACCTCTGGAGTAAGAATCTCTCCAGTAGTGGTTCCAGTTCCATGATGGCACAGTAGTGTCACGTGCCACTGAGTGCAGGGCACAGTGTTGGCTTCTCTGGGGAAATACAACTGTGGGATCCCAGGCAGCTTCCTTGGCTGTGTTTAGTGCCTGTGAGGACTACAGAGGTCCCCAGTGGTGAGGACTGTATGTATCCAAGGTATTGATGGGGGTTTCTGGAGTCCTTTTGCTTACCTTTTCCCCACAGAGAGCAGTTCTTCCTGGTTTCCAGCTGATCCCACTGGGAGATAGGATAGTGGAGGCAAGTTGCTTCTTTCCATTTTCTATGTGTCTCTCCTGAGTTTCTGTGTTCATCAGAGTTTCTTTTACTGCCTTAATGTACTCTGGCACTCTCCTTTAGCTATTTTTGTCAAAATGTAGTCATTTATTTGTTGCCTTGGCTGTCTTTGTGGGAGAGACAAGGACTGGGGTCTTCTAGTTGGCCATCTTGCTGACTCAGTGTTTCAACCTTAAAAATTCAGTAGGATGGACAGACTCTCTTGATACCTGATTTAGTCAGATCTATGGAGTCATCTTCCTTCATAGGGCTATTAAAAGATCTTCCTGATCATTTGCACATGATGATATATAGCCAGTCTGTATAGTCGTCATCAAACTGCTTTATATACTATATCCTCTATGATTTTCTTTTCCAGACAAGACAGCACCAACTCCTTAATATCTCAGATCTATTTTTTTGTTTGTTTGTTTTGTTTTGTTTTTGGTAGCTGGCTGGTATAGGGATTGAACCCTAGACCATGGTGTTATCAACACAGATGTATTTTTCACTCACTTAATCATTTAATTTCCTTTCCCTGTGTTATCTTTGTCTTTTCTAAAATGGAGAAAGTGAAACTAAAATTCCAAAAAGGCTAATAGCAATACCAAGTAGAGAAAATGCCTATTTTATCCCCCTTGTCCCAACATGTTAACATTTAAACTCTATATTCAATTCACTTTTTTCCTGCCATAATTTTCTCCAAATTCTCTTGTGTATCACCTGTTGACAATTCCTTTACAAGATTCTCTCACAGATAAGCATCATCCAAGACACGATGGATTCAGTCTTGGTCATATGTAGGTCAGTAGGACGTGACATCATGGGATGCAAATGCCCTATATTTGCACTGCATTTCATAATGGTAAAATGTGGCACAATGTTCTGCTTTGCACTCCTACTTGTGTTTCACATATGTGCTAACTATTTTGTGCTCTGTGAAATGTGCATATTAATACCTGCCCTAGCTACTTCATCTAGGTATTACAAGGATAGAGTACAGATACAAGTAAAACAAATGAAAACTTAAATATGTCCTTAATCTCATTTCTCTGCATATGGATTTTGGATTATCCCTGAAACTTACTAGAATGTCTTTCCCTTACTTATTTCTGTGAGGTTCACTTTCACCCTTAAGATTTACCTTTTTTCTGTCACTATGGGATCCATCCTATTCTTCAACAACCATTTGCAAGAGTGTATCAGTTTTGCTTCAAATTAATTTGCTATTTGAAGATGTTGACAATAGTATTTATTATTTTGGTCTTTGCAGATTTTATGCTGATATCTAAATATTTAGCATACCAGGAAGTATTAGTATATATTTTTTATATGTTTTCTCATTTAACCAATTAACTGGTGCATAAAGGCTTATGTATCTCTAGTTTGGTTAAATCACTAGGTGTGATACATGCAACAACATAGACAGTGTATTTATATGGAGTACTGCATCAAGGTGTGGTATGGAGATTAAACACATAGTCCGTGACTTGAGTGTACTAAAATGGTAATTTTATTTCATTGTAACTGATCCTAGATCAGGAGCACACATTTTTGTTCAGTAGAGGAAACTCTTCCCCTTAGCCAATCCAAGTGACAGTTCAATACAGTGATTTCTTAGTCAATTCATGATTTATGTTCTGTCTCAGTCCCATTCAGAGCTTCATTTCCAAGCTGCATTTCCATCCCTGTTGAGTTGGCTCTATTTCCAGGAAGATTAAATGTAAGCAGCACAGACAAAGGTGGGGATTAGTCCTTCCTTTTAGTGTGGCATGCCTGCCACAGATGCTGATGTCATCATGGTTGTTTCTCTCAGTACACATGGCGGGTGTGCAGGGGTGGCACATCAGCTCAGGAACAGATCCCTACCTGGCTGATGCCACAGTGATGTAGCCACTCCCACCTCAACCTCAGGTCCACATTGTGGAAGGTGTGACTATAGCTTACTGAATAATGGAAAAGCTCACTGAGGTGCCTCAAGCCAGACTGTTGAGCAGAAAACCAGCAACCGAAGTACCAGCAAAACTCACAGCAGGGTGGGCATCACCAGTCTCCCTTATATCACTGGCAGCTGCACACTTCCTGGAGTAAGAAGGAAAAAGATTCACTGGAGCCAGGCAGTGAAGTGCCTTCATCTTACAGTGTGGACTAGGAACTAGATGTATGGCAGAAATATGATCAGAGAGAGTACTCCATGTTTTTCATTTGTCAGCTCACCTCATGCCCATTTCCAACTCTCCAGAGCAGGTAAAAGTGGAATAGGTACTTTTGCAAGGGGATGTGAGTGTCCTCAGCAGATCCAGGCAGCAGGGACTGAAGGGGAGAGCGGGAACCTCACCAGAACATGGGCAAGAAAAGACGAGCATGGATAAGAATCTCGGCCAGGCTTACCACAGCATTCTGACTTCACATTTACAGGATAATACAATTAATTTATCCTTTTATTTATTTATTCATTCATGAATATTTACTAAGCACCTACTAGCTGGGTTTCAGACAGCTGGAAAAGTCAAAGACTGGCTACTGTAACCCTACTTGACATTTCAAGTTGGCGTGGGAGGTAACAGGTAGCATCCAAAGGAATAAGGAATCCAGTTGAACAAGTCATCCCTTGTGCTAAAAAGTAATTTGTCTTCAAGACTGAGGAGATTCATACCTCTTCTTGAAGAGGTTCACTCACTGGAGCAAAAGACAGTGTGCGTGTCATTCAGTGTCTTTAAAATGGCAGTTACTGCACAGCAAAAGAAACAATTAACATAGCTAAAAGACAACCAACAGAATGGGAGAAAATATTTGCAAAATACACATCTGACAAAGGACTAATATCCAGAATATATAAGGAACTCAAACAACTTTACAAGAAAAAAACAAGCAACCCAATCAAAAAATGGGCAAAAGAGCTAAGCAGGCATTTCTCTAAAGAAGATATACAAACGGCCAACAGTCATATGAAAAAAAAATGCTCAACATCACTCAGCATCTGGGAAATGCAGATCAAACCCACACTGAGATACCATCTCACCCCAGTTAGGATTGCTAAAATCCAAAAGACGCTGAACGATAAATGCTGGCGTGGTTGC